GAAGAAGGCGCGGCCGTGCGCGTTGGTGGAGAAGAGCAGCAGGTCGCACTGGAAGCCCCGCGGGCGACCCCAGCGTACCAGCAGCGAGCTCAGCATCTGCCGCTGCACACTGATGTTGCAAGGCGCCGCCGCCGCCTCCTCCGGGCCTGGGGGATCCGGGGGCCCCGGGGCCGCCGAGGCCAGCAGCCGCGGGGCGGCGGGCTCGCCCGGGGACGACCCGTTAACAGAGGCGTTGGTGGACGCCCCGAAGAGGCCCGGCGCGTCCGCGGCCCCGCCGCAGGCGGGAGGCAGAGGGCAGGCGGCGGCCAGCAGCGCGGCGAGCAGGGGCAGCATGGCCTGCGGCGAGCGCCTACGCGCGCGGTGCCAGCGGCGGCGGTGGCTGCATGGCGTGCGAGCGACGGACCGACGACGAGTGGACGGCAGGCCGGTGGCAGGATCACAGGAGCTGGCGGCCGGGCGGAGTGCGGGTGAGCCGGGCGCCTGCCAGCCCGCGAGGTCGGCGCGGAGGCGGTGGCTCCGGCTTCCGAGACGCGCGGATCCCTCCCCTGCCCGCGCAGAGTCTGGGATTCCCCGTCGCCCCCGGAGCCGGGGCCCTCGGACGGCCCGGCTGCTCTGTAGGGCCGGGAGCTCGCCCGGAGCAGGATTCCCTGTCTCGACTCCGCCTCCCAAGAGCCCCGCCCCGCCCCGCCCCGCCCTCCTCTCGCCTGGGCTCGGGGACTCGGGGGAGGGCGGGGTTCGTTCCACAAGCCGGGGTTGGGAGAAGGGGGACCCGGCGCGAAGCACGGCGGCGTGCGGGGGTGGGACTCCGGGGCAGGCTTGTGGGCCGGGCCCGGGCGGAGCTGGAAATCGCCGGGCAGGGCAAGCGATGAAACGTCTGGGTGCTAGAGAGCCTGCGGGACGCATCCTGGTCACCGGAGTCCGGATCCAAGCGAAGAAGGCTCCCTGGGCGAATTACGTCTTCCGAGGCAGGCTCGCAGGGTGTGAGTGCCCGGAGACTATCTCTTTTGTCACGTCTGAGGGGACACTGCGATGTCTAGTCTTAGCGCTCACCTGACCCCCTCTCTACCCTCGTTTTACAGAAGGGGAAAATGAGGACGAGAGAGGGAAAAGCCTTCCCAAGGCCACCCCAGGAGCCAGAACCAAATCTCTGAGCCACAAGCTCTTTTTGCCTTTCTCTAATGTCTTTTAAAATCTCAAATCTGGAGAGTTTGGCTGGCGTTTAATGTGTCTCCCGTACAACGACCCATTTGGTATTCTCCTCACAGCAAGCAAACACTGAGGAAAATTCCAAGAACTCAGAGGAGTTTTGGGTGGAGAGTGGCTGATCGGAATGTGAGCCCATAATCCTACAGCTCTGGGGATTTTGACAGAGAATTGCACTCTCAGGAAACCAGTGCTCAGGTGCTGAGCCGGTGCCTGGCAGGTTGAGTGAACATGTATTTATGAAAGATTCGTCTGTTCAATCTGTGTCAAGGGACCATTCCTTTTAGTATATTAAAGTGGGTGGAAGACTGCTCAACAATAACAGACAAGATCAGATTCATACTATAAAACACTTTTGCAGTAATTTGAACTCTGAACTCTTACACTTGAGGAAGAGGCTGCAGCGATGGGCTCAAGCGAGGATGTCATAGGATTGGGCTGTTTCCTTCTGTTGTACCTACGTTTGCAATGAGTCAGAACCTACTGGTCGGGACCTATCAAAACTTGGGAAAAAAATAATCTAGGACCCCTGGGTGGTCTGTAAAGAACAGAATTGAATTGCTAGGCATTGAAGCTGATTACATTTTCAGAAGCTTTTGTCCACAGTTCTGCAGCAAAAAATTGGGTTGAGAAAGTTTTGAAAACAGCCTTAAAATGTAGGTCCCACACCTACCTAGCCTCTTTCCAGCTGTTTGATCCCTGGCAAGTCATTTATGGTGACTTGGTCTTGGTTTCCCCATCTGTGGGGTCAGTGATACTTGTCTCCCAGGATTAATGTGATGATAAATGCATGCATGCCAGTGTCCCTCAGATCATAGCAGGACTCGTGGGGTGGCTGCTGTGATGTAATCACTAGCAGACTAGCCTAAACTGCCTGTTCATAATCGTCCTTGGTTTCTACAAAAAGGGTTAATCTCCCCCTCAGAAGAAATGGACTCCCCTTTTGTTTAGGCCTTCACCACTTTTCTGCCAGGTGGTGCTACCTCAAAGGACAATGTGGATTTTCATGCTTTTATTAAAATTACTTTTCCTTTCTGTTCCTTTTATGACAGGAACAGAGTCTGTCCCTGATGTAGTTTAACAGTTTGTTTAGTCTGAGCCTGTGGCTGGTGAACAGTCCAAGAGCAGGGCTTTTCTGTGCTCCCAAGGGCTGGAGAGGCCCAGTCTTCAACGGGTCCATTTTGAGGTAGTGGGTGGCATTCTCTGAGGTTTCAGCCAGAGGCAAGGGCTTCCCAAGCTCCCTTGGGGCTTGCCTGGCTTCCTCTGTGCTGCAGAGAAGGAAACAGAGGGAGAGAAGAAGACAAAAGATCTGCTTCCAGAGCTGAGTAATTGGCAGAAAGGTTGTACCTCAGTAGCCCTATGTCTCAGCAACCTGGATTCTGCCAACTTTTCCAGCACATGCCAAGACTCAGCTACCTCACCCCCATTGAGGGGGTAATTAATTACACAGTTCCTACATTTTCCAGATAGATTTGCTGTCCTTTCAGACAATTGGAATTTTAGAAGAGAAGATAGCAATTAAGTTATTTTCTGTCTTGTTTATGCTGCCTTACCATCAACAGGAAATGTACCTGATACCAGTTGCCACTGAGTTGATTCTAACTTATGACAACCACGTGTGCAGAGTAGAACTGCTCCATAGGGTTTTCAAGGCTGTGACTTACTGGAAGCAGATCACCAGGCATTTCTTCCAAGGTGCCTCTAGGTGGGTTTGAACTGCCAGTCTTTCCCTAAGTAATTGAACACTTAACTGCTTGCACAATCTAGGGACTCTGTTGATACAAGGTAGGGGCCCAGTATTTTCTGATTGAACAAATTAAATTTGCCTATTTGTTAACAGCTCTGGTTAGTTACCATGTATTACTTTCCACTTACTAGGTGTTTACATACAGTATCTTTTCTCAACAGTCAAATGGATTTCATGCCTATTTTACAATAAGAAATCTGAGGCTCAGAGAGGATAAGTAACTTACCTAAGACCCCACAGAAGTTGGTGGCAAAGCCCGAATGTCACTCCAGGCTCCCTGACTCAAATTTTGTGCTTTTTAAAGAGATCGTGGTGACTCATCTCATGGTGATTGGGTCTCAAAGTCTGTGCATAAATTAAAGGAGTATATGATGCAATTCTACTTTATTTTTGAGAAAATAAACCTTCAATTGCCTTGCTTTTTAAAGACCAATGTATTTAAAGACATACAATATTAGAAGAAGATTGGAAAATAGGATGAGAAATGATCCTAATCCCAGCTATCTTATACTTTACTTTTCCACATCTTCATCATTATTCTCTACTGCATTTTCTGTATTCTCTAAAATGTGCAACTATTGCTTTGGTTTTTGGAGAAAGGATATTATACTAAGCCTACTTACTGCCTTCCACTCACGGCGGCCCTTTGGGTGCAGAGTGGAATCACTCCATGGGGTTTTCAAGGCTGTAAAGCAGATCTCCAGGCCTGTCATCTGAGATGCCTCTGGGTGGGTTTGAACTGACAACCTTTCAGCTAGTAGTTGAGTGTTTAACCGTCTGTGGGGTCACCAGGACTCAACGGTAACCAATAACGAGAGCAGCAGCCATTCACTACCATCCTGCTTCGTGCTCTTTTCCTCAGTCCAGTAAGCTCTACTTACTGCTGAAGAACTCTTCATGAGACGTGACTCCATTGCCCATCACTTCCCTTTTCCCTTGTCCTGTCTGTTCCAGGTACACTGGCTTCCTTGCACACAGAGCAAACTGGAAACTCCAAACTGAAGACCTTTGTCTTTCCTGTTTCCTCTGCTGGGGCCACTCTTCTTTCAGATATCTCTGTATTGCTTCTTTCAGATCTCTATTCAGACACCACTTCCTCAGAGGGGTCCTTCCTGATCACCCTTTCCCACCATCCCCATCCCTCTCTATCCTCACACTGCTTTGTTCTGCTTATTACATTACTTGACATCAGCTGACATACTGTATGTTTTTCTTATTTTACTGTATCTCTCTTTATAAGAATGTCTGCTCTCTGAAAGCAGGGACTTTATCTGTTTTGTTCAATGGAGCAGTACCTGGCACACAGTAGGGGCTCAATAAGCAGTTGACAAATGAATGGGTGAGTTCAATAGGCTGAGTCAACTGAATTGATTGTACAGCAGCTTTAAAGGGACCCAGGGTGGGCGGAGCCACACTAGCGCCATAGCAACAAGACTAATGCATTTCCTACTACCCTGTGGGCCAGGCCCTCTGTCCTGCCCAGGGTTGGCTGAGGAGCCAGGCCCTGTTGGGGAATAACCTGGCCTGGCAGAGTTTGGTGTGGAAGGCTGAACTGGTTTCCTAAACCCCAGTGCCCAGCAGCACTGAGCAGTGTGAGCTGACACTAGCTGGATTGCTATGAAGAATGTTCCTCATGAGCCCTGTGTTTCCTTGTATCAGTTGTAAGGAAGAATAGCAAGGAGACCCCTTCCATTTCCCTACATCTTATGATTTTTGTAAAATAAATGCAACACTTTGATAAATCCCAGTACTTTGTCTATGAAAGCCAGACAGGGAGTTTTTCTACCTGGACTGCATTGTTAGAAAACAGTAATTGAAGACTTCAAAGAAAATAATTAGTAATGAATGCACAGTGATTTCAGTCTCTTCATTTCCTCTGGCCCTTCCTGGGATTAGCTAATGTTTCCTTATACTGCCTAGTGAAGTAATGACTTTTAAAAAATTCTTTGGTTTATTTGAATTCCTTTCAGTCAGTGATCTCAGAGTGCCACAGATACAGTAATTTGTTAGTCTTCTCTTATGTAGGTAATGTTGTTGTTGTTGTTATGTGCCATCGAGTCGGACCCAACTCATAGCGACCCTTCCTTGGGTTTCTGAGGTGGTATCTCTACAGAAGTAGATTGCCCAACCTTCCTTCCAAGGAGTGGCTGGTGGGTTTGAACCACCAGCCTTCTGATTAGCAGTCAAGTGCCTTAGGCACTATGCTACCAGACTCCCATGTAGGTAACACTGGGATATTATTACCCTGCTTTGCAGACTGAGAAGCAAGCAAGAACCGGAAAAGAACCATAAAAATAGGACAAAGAAAAGAAGAGTTAGAAATCCATCGCTCCATGACATCTGAATCACTGGTGGAAGTTATATTTGTGTTGGGTGTGTATAT